CCCTCTCTTTCCAGTTATTGACGCTAAGTGTTTGTTGGTCGGGCTGTTTATTGTCTCTCGGCGGTCTTCCTGGCTCCTCCCATTCATATCTTCCGCGTACGTAAATATTTGCCTCTCGGTTATCTAAGCGAGGTCATACTCACTCTACATGTCCCAACTGTTGCAGTCTGTTAGCCCGCAAACCAGTACCGATGGGTATATGAAATATGCAGAAAGCAGCATATATATATATATATATATATATATATATATATATATATATATATATATATATATATATATAACAGAATGGCTGATGAAGGGTTCTAATTTGTCTTATTTTTTGCCTCAAAAAATGCATCACAAATTAGGTTTAGGAATTGCAGTAAACGAACGAGCCAACGAACGAACAAACGAACAATCGAAATAACTTTATTTTCAAAGGGTCACATATAGGACATGCCGGCCCATCTTATATTCGGCCCTTCCTAACACGCATCTGTCACACAGCAGTTGTATTTTACGAATAAAGCAGGTTATGTTCATGTACTAACTCATCAGGCACCCGAACTCCGTGTCTACACCGCTCTAAACAAAGGTAAATACAGACAACAGAGATAATTACACTTTCCACTCGCTCAAAGATGCTCACTATTTCCCGTTCCGAGTTTTCCTTAGGCACTCTCTGATACATTGTGGTGAACCTCTCTTACCCCTTGGTCAAAGACCATTTGTGACGTTGAAACGAAATGCTGGTATGAATATAATTTTCATCAACTGACCTTTGCCTTCCAGGTTGGTCGAACTGCCAATTACTGCGTTTATTTTACCACTTTTAAGGTATAGGCTGCACGGCTAGTGTTGTCGCCACGACTGTGCAGGTGAGGGTTTTATTTTGCCGCCGACAGAAAAACCACCTAGCTTTACCGAGGATTCGAACCTGGGTATCCCGCTTGAAAGCCCAGCGTTTAAACCGTTCGGCCAGCCCCTCCTCTTCCAGGTTTGTACCTGCGTGTTTCAGCAGTGGTCATAGCTATCTGGCATCCTGCTTCGACCGCCTTGTAAATTCGAAAATTACATGTAAACAACAATTGGACACCAACATCACAAGTTTGGAAAGCTCTAACTTCAATCACCTTGAAAAGTGTATGTAAGTATAATACTCCGACCATGCAGAACTCACTTGCAGCAAGAAAGTTGACAGTTTTATTTTACAATGACTCTAAAACACACATTTCTTCCGCATGAATAGAGGGATGCGCAGTGCACTATTTTCTGATCATGTAGAAAACATCTGAACAAGTAAGTGGCAATGCTTCTTACAATTCATAAATTCAAGAATGAGTGTATAACGTGTACTAAAATTATTAGACAAAATATACAATATATACAGTTATATAACAGATTATAAACAGCATATTTATTCCAACATTAAGCTACCCGTGCCAAAACATGGATATTATCTGAAGCTCATGTACACAAAATCACCACTTGCGAGATGAGATGCTTCAGAAAAGCCGCCAACCTTACCATCCGAGATCGAGTAAATAATCACACTGTCAGACAAATTGTGGGAAAGACACCATGAACTAGATTCATTGAGAAATAGCAATGCAGCAAGACCAAATACCATCACAAACAGTACATCTCAGAAGATCAGCTACAAGAGCAAGAGGACAACCGCGAAAATTTAGATCGACAATATTAAAGACACTCTACCACTTCACGGCAGGACAATAGCCTGTGGCAGCCAGCGTGCACCGGATCGCAACTTATTCTCTTCCCCCACCCCCCCCACCCTTTTTTTCACGTCGCATAACGACAAAAGTGATTTACGATGATGATAGTTTGTTCTGGAAAATAACGAACAATACACAAACATAATAACATTGCCCATCGCCACCTCTTCCTTTTTTAATTACACACACGCATACACGCACGCACGCACGCACACACACACATACACACACACATCGATTACGGGACCCTATTGTTTATAATTTTGTTGTTGTTGATATTTGGGGAGAGGGGGGGGGGCAAAAGGCTGGCTGCCCTCTAACCAGCTTGTGGCAACAGGCGACTATTTAGGCGCCTACAGAAATTGGATGTGTTACATTAACAGGTTTGATTTCGCAGCCTAGCTGTGAACAAGATCACAGCGTGCCACATATTTAGCAAAGAAAATAATCAGCTAACAATGAATATCACAGTGAACGGGATGAAATTGGAACAGGTTAAAAATTTCTTATATTTTGGACAAGTAATAACATGTGACGGCAGAAGTGAAACAGAAGTCAAGAAAAGAATAGGGATGGCCAAAAACATTTTCAACAACATGCAAAAGTTACTGACATCAAGAGAAATAAGCAACACATTAAAAATGAGAGTTGTCAATGTTATGTAATCTCAACCTTACTGTATGGCACAGAGACATGGACAATGAACAAACAACTGGAAAATTGTATCAATTCTTTCGAGATGTGGATATAAAGAAGATTAGGTCCTATTTCATGGAAACAAAAGCTATCAAATACGGAGGTGCTGAGGAAATTGGGAATGAAAAGAGAGTTGCTAGGTGAAAAAAAAAAAAGAAGAGACAAGTGAAATATTTTGGCCACATTAAAAGACATAACAGTGATGTAAAGATCATCCTAGAGGGAAAGGTTCAAGGTAGGCGAGCAAAAGGCAGACAGCGTTACAAGTGGGAGGATAACATCAAGAGATGGACGAACAGCAGTATGAGTGAGTGTACATCAAGGGCAAGAGACAGGGCTTGTTGAAGATTCATTGCAATATTTTGGCCACATTAAAAGACATAACAGTGTTGTAAAGATCATCCTAGAGGGAAAGGTTCAAGGTAGGCGAGCAAAAGGCAGACAGCGTTACAAGTGGGAGGATAACATCAAGAGATGGACGAACAGCAGTATGAGTGAGTGTACATCAAAGGCAAGAGACAGGGCTTGTTGGAGATTCATTGCAGCCAACCTTCATTGTGGAGACGGCACCTGATTGATTGATTGACCAATAAGGAAATTGTTTAAAAGAGAGCGGATTGACTTACGAGGATTTCTCGAGGATATGGCTGAAGTCTCTCGTCAGAGCAGTTGGACATCCGTCGAGAGTATCGCAAGTAAAGGGTCCCTCCTGCGCCAGTACCACATGGGGCGTTTGATGCTGGTGATGCTGGTTTCGTGTTTTTATACAGAAATCTGGACCATACAGGTGATGTGGTCAACATACACCAGCTGCCTTTACTTCCCATGACACTGCAACATAACCTGGTGTCGATTTTAATATAGGATGACCTGGAAACTATAGTGGGTTGTTGTTTTTTGCGGGAGGTGGGGATATATTTTTATATCCATCTGCTAATGGCGGATCATAGCCCCAGACTCTAAAGCGCTCACTTGCTAAGACAATCTGAAATTATGCCATAGGCCGAGGACATAGTCTTATTAAGCCATGTGGATTTGGAAAGTCAGGGGAAACTGCTACATTATTATTCCAAGAAACTTTTGAAAAGATAATTTTATTTTTTGGCTGAAATGCTAGAGAAAGATTCTCAGAATGCCATGAAGATCGAAGCAAATAAATACTGATGTTCTAAAAGATCTGAAGATCAACGGAGATTGGCGAATAAACAGCATTTTTTTCTTGGAATCTGAATTAATTTTGGACATGTGAAGAGCCAGAGTGGATTAGGAAAATAATAGCCAGGAAGCCATGAAGGAGGGGCAGGGATCGACCAACTAGAAAACTGGCAAGGGTAGGAGTGTCTTCTTGTGTATGAAAGTGCATGAGGATGGGGAGCTGACGGGAGACCGTGTTTGGTGTGTGTGTGTGTGTGTGAGAGAGAGAGAGAGAGAGAGAGAGAGAGAGAGAGAGAGAGAGACTGTGATTACAGCTACAATGCTACATGGTGATGATAATGTTTGCGAATTCTAACCGCAAGCTTTAAGGCAGGCAATCGAGGCTCTGGGTAATGTATTGGGGACGGATATCAAGTTTTTTTTAAAAAAGAAATATACTACCAAACCGACCATCATTTAAAACTTGTAAATTGTAATAGGGAAGAATGGGCCGCATTGCATAAACCAAGTCTTGTTCTGTTTTTGCGCTCATCGAAGACGTAAGTGCGTTGTGCACATGTATACAATGCCTGCAGTGTTTGAACGTTTCGGCCGCGAATTTAGCAGACTTCTTCAGGCATCGGTTCAGGGTTAGGCTTCCTTTAGAACCTGAAGCTTTATACAGATGTAAAATAATGATTGCACATTATTTATACAGATTTATGTGGTTAAAGCAGAATCAACGAAAAAGACCTGATGAGCTATAATACCCGCTACTATGTGAACGCCATAGTAAGCCATATGAAAGGTAATGACAGAACTGCTAATGGAATATGAAGTGTCATGTCTTAACTACATATTCGAAACCTGAGCTTGCTGAGGTGTGATGACTCTGTAATATGTAGGTAATATTTCACTTCCCGTAGAGCAACACGAATAAAATATTAAATGCATATTAAAATGATATATATATACACGGAGGAAATGCATAAAATGTCTTAAATAGTTCGGAATTAAAGAACGCATTCTGTTATAACAATCATTCAAGCTGAGAAAATGTAGACTTTCAGTTAAAAAGCGGACTGTGAAGAGCTGCTGAACTAGTTTGAATGCTTTCAATGGAAACAAAAGCTGGAGAACTTGTTTTCAGCTCAGCAACAAGTCTTTGGATGCGTTAGACAGCGACGTCTAAAGAGCTGCAGAAGAAGTTGGTATATGGCTTCAGTTAGACAGCAGCGACGCTCAAGCTAGACAAAATCGCTGCAGAAGAAGTTAGAAGAAGATGTTACATGGTCTCAGATTGACAATAACGCCTTGGGAGTCGCTACAAATAAAGGTAAACGGTCTCAGCTTTACAACATCGTCTCGAGTCGCTACAAAAAGAATTGGTACACGGTCTCAGCTTGACAACAACGCCTGGAGAGTCGCTGCAGAAAAATATGGTACAGGGTCTCAGCTTGACAACAACGCCTGGAGAGTCGCTGCAGAAGAAGTTGCAGAAATCCCAGGGGTCATGACTATAGCAGCGTATTCATGAACTGCCTGAAAGTAGCAATCAGTTTTCATTATAAACATATATCTCTGTTGGCAACAAGCAATAAACTGTCCCGAATATTGTTTGTTTTAAAAGAAAAATAATATTTCAATAATATTAGTGGCATTCTGTGATAAGAGCAAATATTTGCAAATTGTTTGTTTGCCAAAACAAAGACTTTGATTAAAAGGGAGTAGAGTGGATCAGGTGAAAATTTTAAAAAAAAAAAAAAAAACGGTAACAGGAATAATGGAGTTGAATGTAGCATGCTAAATTGAGAATCGACCTCATAGCACTCGGGACACTCCCTTAAGCGCTCCGTTCCCATCTTCAACAGCAAGCGACGTATTCCAATTCCGATGGTATCAGTAACTGTCTAATTGTACATCTGCCTCGCCTTTCCCTTGAGTGTTGAGCATCGGCCAGATCCCCTAGTAACTTCTCGCATCGCCATTCTCCACACTGTCCAAACCTGTCTACGTATATGGCTTGGGCGTTGGGAACGCTCTTTGTAACACCGAGGTACTTGTTTCGATGCCAGCTGCAAGTGATTTGGCAGTAGACCACACTGTGCTAGTTTCGACGGTAGTATCTCCTACTAGTTCGCATTTACCAGCTGTAAACTCCAGGGGAAAATTCTGGTTGTTCATCCACTTCTGGACTTTAGTCGTGATCATGAAGCTGAGTGTTGCATGCACAGTCACTTTACAAATTCGGCTTATCTGGATGCAGACTGTTGGTTGATCACTATTGAGACTGATTGAATCCGACTTTAAAGGAATCATCTCTAATTAGTCGACTCTTACAATATGCTTATTCAGGGACAGCGGGTCTATTCTTTCCTCTCCCCTCCTTACAATAAGACCCAGGAAACCCACACGAGTAGACAATGTTATCAAGAGCCGACCGTTCAAATGCAGTGGCAAACCACTGAGCGTAAAATTGCCTAATGTAATCACAAACAGCCGCAGCAATGATGGGACTGGTTCTGCAACATAATCCAAAAGAGCCCAAATACCTTTAAAACAGATTAAAACTTACATTGTACAACAGGGTATACTGTTCCTTGTTCTGAATAGCACCTGCACGTTCCTGACGTATAGAATGAACAGTCTTCATTACATCCACAATACTTTTAGTTTCAAACTGTTTCATGCACAAATCAAGAGCGATGAACGTGCATGTCCGACCAGTCCCCGGGCTGATGAATTGGGAAAATGATACCATATCAATTGTCTGATCACAAACGTTCAGTGACATTATTCCCCATATAAATCATCTAATCACACAAAGGCACTGGCATAATACCCAAATATAAATCATCTAATCACACAAAGGCACTGATATAACACCCAAATTTATCATCTGATCACACAAAGGCACTGAAAAAACACCCCCCATATAAATCATTTGATAACAAACGTGCACTGACATAATACTAGTGCTGTACCGAATAGTGATTTTCACTATTCGGCCGAATACGAATAGCTGGACCAACTATTCGGCCGAATACAAATAGTGAAGCATCATCATCAGGTGCTTCGCATGGGCGATCATACCAGGCCACAATTTGAGATCTCCTGCAGCATGTTTTAGTTCGTGTGCTGACACACCTCCATGCCATGCAACAAGACTGTCAAGAATCTTCACTTTATAAAATGCAGTTTTTGACTGTCCTATTCTGTTTATTATTTCAGTAATGCATCTTCCATCTGATGTTATCCATGTGCCCAGATACTTAAATGTCTGTACCTCTACCAAAATAAAACCATCGACTTTTATTACACATTTCGAAATAATTATTTTCTTTGATACCACCATTACTTCTGTCTTCCCACTATTCAGACTGAGGCCATTCTTCCACTTTCGTGTCTAAAATAGATCTTAAAAAAAATAAAACATCTATAATGTCAAATGTGGGCTGAAGTTTTCTTCTTCTTCTTCTTCTTCTTCTTCTTCTTCTTCTTCTTCTTCTTCTTCTTCTTCTTCTTCTTCTTCTTCTTCTTCTTCTTCACTTCCTCTTTTACCGCTGTGGGTGTCGAGGGAGATAAAAGGTTCTGTTTCTAGCTCTTCTGGCTGCCTTGACCGTAGGCACATCGTGCTTTTGTAGAGTTTCTCTGATATTATCCTTCCATCTTGGTCTACCTCTTGCTCTACGTCCTTCTTCTCTTTCCATGTATGCTTTGTATGGTATGGCGTCACAAAGCATTCTCTCTAAGTGGGCAAACCACTTCACTTGCTGTCTTTGTATGTAATTTAGAATTGGTTCTGTGCCGACTTTTTCTCTTATGATCTCATTCCTGATCTTATCTCTTATGGTCACACCTACAGCCCTTCTCAAACATCTCGTTTCCATGGTTACTAATTTTCTTTTATGGTTTGCTGTGAGTGACCATGTCTGGCACTGGTAGCACAGAGTTGGAATAAATATGCTTTGAATAAGTTGTCTCTTTGTGCTGATTGGGATTGTCTTATGCTGTAAGAGGGGGACTAGCTGCCACAATACTTGGTTTGCTTTACTGCATCTAATGTTAATTTCTTTATCCAATTTCCCATCTTCGGTAAATGTAGTTCCCAGATATTTAAACTCAGATGCCTGTTTAATGCCTTTGTACTCTATTGCTATGTTTAGATCTGTCTTCTTTTTTCCTATTGACATTACTTCTGTCTTTTCAGTGTTGATTCTCATATTATCTGTTTTACATTTTTCATTTATGGATGTTAGATGTTGTTGCAATTTCATGGCTGTATCTGCTATCAAGGCCTGGTCATCTGCAAAAAGTAATTCGCTGATCTTACTAACATTTTCATTCATTGGCTTGGCATTCTTGCATATACTGTCGATGTAGGTGATAAACAGCAGTGGTGATAAGACACACCCCTGTCTTACTCCAGATGTTACTGTGAATGGATGAGATGTTCCCTGACGGGAACTTCGCTCTACAATGTGGTTAAAGAACTAGGATTGCGCGGTAATGAACGGAAACGAACACTCAAAAACTGGGCGAGGTAGCCGAAAGGGCTTAGAGTTGGCTTTGGACGCAACGGAACAACGTAGGGGACGGGCCTCGGTGAGCTGGTCCGGGTGTCTAGCGGAAAAGGGTTTCTCACCCCTTGAAAGTCCATCATGTCCGAATTGTCTGCCAGTGATCCTCAACCACCTGCTAATAAAAGTCCAACATGTGTCCGGTAAACCAAACGTAAGCTTGTCGCTCGGTCGTCCAGGCATGCTGACTGTTCTAATTAGGCTGCTGCAACGACTTCTTATCTCACAGTACCTTCTGCGAAACCACCAAGTCGTCTTGTCCCTATCCGAAAGAAAAACACCATCCAGTAATCTCGTGCAGCAGGGTACCAGCCCTGAGCTTCATGAACTCAGGTGGGCCCACCTGCGAATGTGTCTAGGAATCGTGGGCCGAAACGCTTGTCGACGAGGATAATTTCTACTGACGACTGGTAGATCCCTGCTGTACTTGCTCCCTGTGAGTTTATTCCTATAACTACACTTTTACAATCCTTGTATAAACCTTTGCACACTTCGATGAGGTGTTCGCTTACTCCATATCTTGCCATTACTTTCCATAATAATTGTCTGTCGACTCTGTCAAATGCCTTCTCCTGGTCTACGAATGCCACAAATAAGTTCTTATTGTATTCAATGTTCTTTTCTATTAACTGTTTAAGTGTGAAGATTGCATCTGTGCAGCTTCTATTTCTCCTAAATCCCATCTGTTCTTCTGCCAGCTGTGGTTCTATTACTGGTCTCAGTCTTGTTTCTATTATCTTGGCATACATTTTGCCAACATGGCTTAAAAGAGAGATGCCTCGTTATTGACCGCATTCTCGTTTGCTTCCTTTGTTCTTCCACAATGGTATAACTATTGCATGTTGCCAATCAATAGGGGCAGTTTGTTGTACCCACGTTGCATTAAATATTCTGTGGAGCCATCTGATGCTGCTTTCACCTGCTGTTTGAATTATTTCTGTTGGTAATCTATCAGCTCCTGGTGCTTTATATTTGGGAGACTGCTTAATGACTTTTTCTATTTCATCCATTAGTATGTGTGGTTCTAACACTGTTGCTCTGTGCTCTTCAGTTGTTCTTTCCTGATGACCTCCAAGAGGATTAAAGAGTTCATTGAAGTATTTCCTCCATCTTTCTGCTATCTCAGGTGGATCTATCAATGGCCTTCCTGTCTCACCATTAATTATTTCAGTGGGGTTGTAGCTCTCATCTCTTTTCCGCATATTTTTAACTACTTTGAAAACTTTTCTGCTGGCTGTTTTCTCATTTTCTGCCAAAGACTCACCGAAACGTTCCCATGATGCTTGTTTTACTTTCTTGACACTCCTGTTGATTTCTCTCCTTTGCAGTCTATAGTTTATATAATATTTTTCTTTCTTTGATTTTATCCACTGTTTATGTAAGTCCTTTTTCTTTTTAATTGCGTCTTTTACTTCTTCGCACCACCAAGTTGAATATTTGTTATTTCCCCGTTTGTTTCCACTCTTCCGTTTTCCAAATAATTCTTCTGCAATACTAAGCATATTTACTCCATTCTTCTTCAATATTGCCAACCACATGTGGAAGTTGTTTGAATGCTGTCTCTACTTTCTGTTGTAACTGTTCTTTTACTCCTTCCTTTTTCAGATTTGCTATCTTGATGAGAACCTTGTTTTTGGTTAATTTCTTTCTGTGTTTCTTTAATGTAAGATGTTTTGCTGTTAACACAACTATTTTATAGTCAGTGTCACATAGACCATTAGGGATTGCTCTTGAATCATGAATTCTCCTTCTTCCTTGAACAATGGTAAGAATAAAGTCAATCTGGCTCTTGATGGAGACATCATTCCATTTGTACCAAGTGTAAAGTTGTGAATCTCTATGATCAAAGAATGTGTTTGTAATAAAAAGATTGTGCTGGCTGCATAGATCCAATATTCTTTGCCCATTTCCATTTCTATCACTGTTCTTAGCTGCATGTGGACCTAAAAACTGTTCGTATTCTCTTCTGTTATTTCCTACCCTCCCGTTGAAGTCACCCAGCGAATATTCGGTACAGCCCTACATAATACCCATATAAATCATCTGATCACAAACATGCACTGACATAATACCCATATAAATTATCTGATCACAAACATGCACTGACATCATACCCATATAAATCATCTGATCACAAACATGCACTGACATAATACCCATATAAATTATCTGATCACAAACATGCACTGACATAATACCCATATAACTTATCTGATCACAAACATGCACTGACATAATACTCATATAAATTATCTGATCACAAACATGCACTGACATAATACCCATATAAATTATCTGATCACAAACATGCACTGACATAATACCCATATAAATTATCTGATCACAAACATGCATTGACATAATACCCATATAAATTATCTGATCACAAACATGCACTGACATAATCTTACTTACTTACTTACTTAGTCGCTCCTCTTCTACCTTGGGGTGTAGAGGTTTGCCAGAGAGATCGCCAGACGTCTCTATCAGCAGTTTTCTTTCTGGCTTTGTTCCATTCCAGTCCTCTGTCAGTCAGGGACTGTCGGATGTTGTCTTCCCAGCGCACCCTGGGTCGTCCCGGAGGTCTGGTTCCCTGGTTCTTAGCCTCCCATGCTTGCCATGGTGGCCGATTTTCTCCCATTCTGCACACATGTCCAAACCATCGTAACTGTGACTGATCCACTCGGGTTAGTAAGGGCTGGGTATCAAGATCTTGACGTATTGTTCTGATTGCGGACTTTGTCCCTTCTTGTCACTTGGACCACCTTTCTCAGGTATCTCATTTCCGAGGCCTGCAGCTGGCTTCTGTGAGCTGTTTGTCATTGCCCATGACTCACACCCATAGGTCAGGACTGGTACATAGGTAGAGCGGTAAACAGCCATTTTCGTTCTCTTGCCAATTCTCTTTTTGCTAAGAAACCCTCGGTTTATGGCCTGGAAGAGTCTCCCAGCAGCTGCTTTTCGTGTAGCCAGCTCAGTCTTAATGCCTCCATTTTGGTCTAATACAACTCCAAGGTATTGAAACTGGTTAACCTGCTCCAACGCATACTGACCCATCATGATCTGGTGTTTCTTCTCCTCTCTTGAGATCACCATGGTTTTAGTTTTGGAGACACTGATGGTCATCCCTTTCTTTTCAAGCTCTTCCTTCCAGACAAGTAAGTTGGACTGAAGGTGTGCCTCTGATTTAGCTATCAGGGCCACATCGTCTGCAAAAGCCAGCTCTGATATACAGATTGGTCTCATCTCCAGTACCCTACAGAGTACTTCTTTGTCTTCTCCTTACAGGTCTTTGATGACATCATCCATCATAAGAATGAAGAGGTAAGGTGAGAGAATATCACCTTGTCTAACACCGCTGGTGGTCTTAAATTCTTCTGACTTTTGGTCTGCTGTTCTTACATAATTTCTGCACTTTTTGTAGAAACTCTGTATTGCACTGATCAGGGGTGCTGGGATGTTTTTCCCTGCCAAGCAGTCCCAGAGCTTGTTCCAGGGTACCTTGTCAAATGCCTTTTCCAGATCCAAAAAACTGACATAATACTCATATAAATTATCTGATCACAAACATGCACTGACATAATACCCATATAAATTATCTGATCACAAACATGCACTGACATAATACTCATATAAATTATCTGATCACAAACATGCACTGACATAATACCCATATAAATTATCTGATCACAAACATGCACTGACATAATACCCATATAAATGCACTATAACACCTTATAAATCCATCACTGACATAATACCCATATAAATCATCTGATCACAAACATGCACTGACATAATACCCATATAAATTATCTGATCACAAACATGCACTGACATAATACCCATATAAATCATCTGATCACACAAAAGCACTGACATAACACCTCCATATAAATCATCTGATCACACAAAGGCACTGACATAACACCTCCATATAAATCATCTGATCACACAAAGGCACTGACATAACACCTCCATATAAATCATCTGATCATAGAACGTGCACTTACAAAACACCGAATAAAAATCATACGATCCCAAAACCAGCACTATTGCTTATAAGCAATTTTTCGTTTTTTTGAAGCCACACCGTGGCTTTTTCCAGGGGCTCTAATATAACCTAAAGGTTAAACTGGGTTCCTGGGACCTCTGCTCGGGTGATCCCCCTCCGCACGGTTGCACTTTCTGTGGTAGGGTAAAACCTACATACTAAAACCTGCACTGACATAACACTCCAAATAAATTATCTGATCACAAACGTGCACCGACTTAAACATATTAATGTACAAAAGAAATGATTATTATATAAGTCCTGTATAAACATCTCACGCACACACTCACATGCACGAACATACAAACACAGGATCACGCACACACTCACATGCACGACATACAAACACAGGATCACGCACACACTCACATGCACGAATATACAAACACAGGATCACGCACACACTCACATGCACGAATATACAAACACAGGATCACGCACACACTCACATGCACGAACATACAAACACAAGATCACGCACACACTCACATGCACGAATATACATACACAAGATCACACACACACTCACATGCACGAATATACAAACACAGGATCACGCACACACTCACATGCACGAACATACAAACACAGGATCACGCACACACTCACATGCACGAACATACAAACACAGGATCACGCACACACTCACATGCACGAACATACAAACACAGGATCACGCACACACTCACATGCACGAACATACAAACACAAGATCACGCACACACACATAGAGTCTGACTAATGTTTTTAAAATAATGTAACATTTTAGCGAAAAACACATAACACAAACAAGCAGGTCTAAGTGTGCACGGTATAGCTCCCTCATCTTAAACATATTTACACGAAATAGAATTCCAGAGGAACGAATAGTTACAATAACGAAGCACTAGAAGGAAAAAAAAGGAAGGAAAAGGTAGGGGCTGATGGAAGAAGAAAAAACGTACTAGGTAAGGAGGTAAAAGATGAATGCAAATGAGGAAATCAGACTAAGTTGAAACCAACAAGACCTAACTGCACGACACAGACCTGCAGTGAACCACCAATGGTGAGGTACCGCTCTCATATTTTGGCCGGACATCAAGGACGAGCTTGACCAATGAAATGGGCTCTGGCAGTCCGTGTGGAGGCCAGCAGGTATACCAGAAATGATCGATTTGTCTGGTTTCGATTTTCTGAAAGCACACGTAGGTACAAAGCATAGATCACTTAACTCTTTCAATATTAAAAGTTGTAATTTATTGCAGATTGCACACAGGTTAAAGTGGCGTAGATTTTTCTAATAGTCGAAGGGGTGTGAAGTCATCCTCCTCTTTGTCAAAAGGAGTCTCCATGGCGAAGTGGTGAAGCCTCTTGCCTCGGGCTCTTAAGGTCGTGGATTCGTTTCCCAGCTACATCGTACAGTTCATGAATGCAACTTTTACAGATACCTTTAGAGATCGTCGCTGAAGCTACAGAGTTCCCTTTATATCTGCCTTTTGGAAAAGTTTACTCAAACTTGCTGCATCTTTATTAAAGAAAATTTCAATGATTCTGTCATGAAGGTGTATATTTTCATAACGCAGCAATAGAGGTACAATTTGCAACGAATATTTAAGCCAAACTGTGTTATCTCTTGTTCTCTCATATGCTGTTTTTTCAGTTTATATGTATTTTAATTGTATATTAAAGGGCGAAACGTGGTTTTATTTTGCGCATTTATGAGTTGTATCTCGCTGCTTAACTTTGTGTTCGAAACAAAGATTACTATATTCCTTGCTTAGTCCAGTAACTGCTTGTTTCTCTGATTGCCTTTTTTTTCCCCATGAGATAGTTGTTTAAACAAACAATAATATCTGAATTGTTAGTTTAATTGTTTTGGCCCAATAGTGTTGTTATTTTAATTCCTCTAAATCATACAGATCACTGGTTTTCAAATACAATCACCTGGTTAGAACGACGGTAAGTAATGTTCAATTTCTAACTAGTACTGAATGGGTTTAAAAAACGCTTTTTTTTTAAACAGACATCAACTGCTGGCGATTTACTGAGGCTAAAAAAAACATCCAGGATAAACAAGTGCACAAATCTTGTCTGAAGCTGAGCCTACAACGTTCAGAACCGGACGTAAAAGACTTGCTTAAATGCTTCGCGCCTACTACTACTCACGTTTAAGGGGTCACTACATGGCATTTTTCCCAATTTATGTCAAAAATATCATTTTTTCAACGTGTTCGTTTTTGTAAAGTTCGGCATTCGTAGAATAGATGACTCACAAAATTTATGTCATTTGTAAACAATTTAGCATTGAAAAGTTTATACTAACGACACCACCTCGTGTACTTTTTTAAGATAAAAAAAAGTTTAAAAGTCAGTTTTCTAAAATCTCTATATTTCAGTTTGCTGTGTGTGTGAAATCCTAAAATCTAAGCTAATATAAAGAGTAAAAACATGAAATTTTGTATGCATACTCCATAAACAAAATTATAGGGACTGGTCTATCTAAAAGTAGATTTTAGAAAGATTTTGTTTTCTAAAATATGATTATTGTCTTATGATGCTCGATTTTTTGACTTTTTCAATAAACCTACATTTTAATATTCTACGAAAAATATTTAAAAACATGTTTAAAGTAACTAATCTAGACCTGTACCTCTAAATAAGATAAAAGGTCATGGATCCATCATCTATTTTTGAATATCTAGGTTTGTTTTTGAAATTTTAGGATTTTAAGTACATATTGTTTTTTTCACAAGAAGGCGGTTATTGCCATGACAACTATGATTTTTTAACACTTTAAGTATACAAATGTAATAACATGTATCCCTACAAACGACCATTATAAAATAACTGCTCTAAGTCTGTAAATAAAAAAATAAAATTTTTTCGTATAGTGACCCCTTAACAAGCTTCGCCGAAAGGAGAGCTTTTGGTTATAATTGTGACTAGGTTATGTGCGCCATATAAAAAAGCTTGGCACTGCGAGCCACCAAGAAACCCTGAAAAGGAATCACGCAGTGTTGACGCAATCAAAGGAGACTGACCCAAATAGTGTAGACCGAAATACTGTCCCGACTGTCGCCTACCAGCGAGCCACTGAGTGACCCGGTCGCCGATGCACCGTAAACGAGTAATCCATTACCATCATTTTGTTGCTGCAAATTTATGGTGAGCCATCAACAAATGCATAACCCTACCACCGCCCTTGTTTTTGTTTTTTTCTATCACCATTCATGACAGATCGACATCGTGACTAAAAGTGTCACTATTCGGATGAAAATCAACAAGCAGCAAATCGCAGAAACCCCGTTCAGTCCTGTAACAGTTATATAGAATGTTACAATACGGTGGCAAAGTGTTACAAAAGACAAGTAGTTATACTAAATGTTACACTATAGCGGCAAAGTGTTACAAAAGTCATTTACCCTTTGGTTATTGATCTCCAGTTGAGAGACGATGTATTCTTGATGAACATCTTTCCGAATCAGCTCTATAAGAAAGTCACCATATTTGTGAGCTGCACTTTTCCCAACAAGTTCCGGCCAGTAACTGGCACATTTGATCTGGTGCAGATATAAAAATCAAATAGGCAGTATGTATTACACACATACACATATATGTGGTGAGTTAGTTTACACGGCCACACACACACCACTTACAGAAACACGCCAACGCACACAAATACACACACCTACATAAACCACAGGTATTTTATTGCCATGATGGGGATCTGTCAACTGCTGTGATGATTATTGTTGAATGTTGAATGTTGTTCAATGTTGAATGTTATTGAATGCTGAATGTTGTTGAATGTTGAATGCTGATGAATGTTGAATCGACATGATGACAATCGAAACACTCCCATAAGCTTTCCGTCCCCAGGCGAAGAGTTCCGATGGTACCAGTAACTTTCTAATTCTACCTCCGTCTAGCCTTTCCCTTGCGATCGGTTGAATCCTCCGGTTACTCCCCAGAGCGCCATTCTCCTCAGACACTTAATGATCTGTTTGTGGCTCCCTACTGTTCACTCGCTCTAAAAAATCTCCCAAAACATGTAGCTTGTCAGACATTATTTCACCACAACGTGGTGTAGAACCAGCCAGTCTGTCTGCCTGCTCGTTTCCCAACACACCATTGTCCCCTGGAGAAAATATTCAAAGAACACTGACTGTCTCTGATGCGATGCTTGCCACTCTGCGCGGATCATGCCTTTCTCCACCATTCAGCTAGAAAATATTGGGTAATGATGTTGGGGGAAAGTTGAAGGGGATTCGACCAAGATTGCTGCGTTTTATATCCAGTAAAGGACGTTGACGTTGGGCGCGCACGCAAACACACACACACACACACACACACACACACACATATATATATATATATATATATATATATATATATATATATATATATATATATATATATATATATATACACATACTCATACACACTCACATACACAATCCCCAACAAACGTTGGTTGTTTGTGGTTTTAACATTCAGAACGATCAGCATACAACTGGAAATCAACACAAACCGGTCTGCTGCAACATCGCCTACAGTTTAACCGAACCAGATATATCGGGATCACAAATCGCGGGTGTAACCTAAAGACAGAGCTACATATTATTAAATGAAATGTTACGTTAGATGTTACATTTAATGCAAAAACAAGCTTGTTTAAAATAGTGTGTCGCTAGAATTACCCATTAAGGAGAAGTAGATGCAGAATTTAATGTAAGAGCAAAGAAGTCTAAAAGTGTGATGACCCTTCAGTGGGCAGATTTATTTAGCGACAGTCAAGCAGTAATCTACTTCTCTTTATCACGAGACATCGTCTGATAATATCCATGTTCACAATCGGTCAGTGCAGATGAAAAAGATATAATCATCTTCATGTGTAGTACTGGTAAGCGTAAGCTGTAACGTTTCTTCATCTCGAACGATCAGCAGAATAACGGATCAGTTCAGTGGTTTTGTCTTGCCCCATCCATCCGGCCGGGCTATTCAGGTACTTATCTCTTTGCCTCCCTCTTACTCTCTTTTCATCATCTTTACAGTTGTTACCAAGTTCTCTAGTCTATTCTTCTGCATTATATGCCAACAACAACAACAACAACAACAACAACAACAACAACAACACACACACACACACAAAACAGTAACTGTCTATGTCTAATTGTTCTACTAAGTTTACGACTTTCGTCTATGTCGATGAGGACTGTTATTTTTTTTTTCTACCCTTCTTAAATGATGTTGTAGTTATGGAAGCAACGCACTGTCAACTGAATGAGACAGTCATTATGACGTTCTTTTAACTTCTGCAGCGTGGTAATGAAGATCACGGCTCCATATGTAATTCTACTTGCATCTGCTCTGTCATTAATATCGCCAGTCCACCTTCTTCCAGTACGCATTATTCCTCTTAAGTGAGTCATTCGTAATAATTTAAAGCATAATGAGAAAGGGAAAATAAAAACGTGATCATTCTAAGCATAAAGGCAGAAGGAAAATATAAACGTGATCATTTAAAACATAAAGGCAGAAGGAAAATATGAACGTGATCGTTTAAAGTATAAAAACAGAAGGAAAATATAAACGTGATCATTCAAAGCCTAAAGGCAGAAGGAAAATATAAACGTGATCATTTAAAACATAAAGGCAGAGAGAAAATATGAACGTGATCGTTTAAAGTATAAAAACAGAAGGAAAATATAAACGTGATCATTCAAAGCCTAAAGGCAGAAGGAAAATATAAACGTGATCATTCAAAGCATGAAGCCAGAAGGAAAATATAAACGTGATCACTCAAAGCATAAAGGCAGAAGGAAAATATAAACGTGATCACTCAAAGCATAAAGGCAGAAGGAAAATATAAACGTGATAATTTAAAGCATAAAGGCAGAGGGAAAATATAAATGTGATCATTCAAAGCATAAAGGCAGAAGGAAAATATAAACGTGATCATTCAAAGCATTAAGACAGAAGGAAAATAAAGACGTGATCATTCAAAGCATAAAGGGAGAAGGAAAATATAAACGTGATCATTCAAAGCATAAAGGCAGAAGGAAAATAAACATACCTGCCCCTGTTCCTCCATGTCCGTAAGCATGACAATAGTCTGGCATCCTTGTTGCCAAACTCATGGTCCAGAAATCAATTGTGGTCTTTTCGGTGGGAGCCTGGGTGGCAATGTAATACTGACACTGGTTGTTTGGTCCCTATAGGAGCGAGCGGAGGAAGTCGTTTAGACTCATATATGTCATTTATTTCAAACCAATATCAACGTGTCCAAAGAACTTAATGGATCATATGGATCGTACTGTGTGGTCTGCAAAACTAAAAAGGGAATAGATACAAAGATAAAAGGACAGAAGATAGCAATATCTGAGCTAAGCTTCTGAGAAGAAACATGCCAAATGCATGTGATGCCAACAGTGGTCCTGAGATCTCAGACGTTTATTGGGGAAGAGTCTTGCTAACCAGAGCGGGTCTTGCTGGTCACACTCGACATCGCCATGGTCTCTTATTCCTATGCCTCTCCCTATAGAACAGTGGAACCTTATCATGTGAAAAGACATATAAGCGCCAACAACGAGATTGTTTAACTGTTGACACGGTTTCATAGAATTGGTTCAAGAACATTCTTGAGGGAGCGAAGACAACAGTGTGGTACTAGAACGGGCAGGCATCGAACATAGTTTGATCATGGGAGACGTGGGTTTAGCTCCATATATCCAGTTAGCTCGACCTAGTAATTATTGCAGAATCCTGGCCACAATCTTCCAAATACTTTGAATAGCACAATAAGAATGAAGGTTTGGTCAAGATCTACAGGTATAATGCATGTCTCGTATAATGTATCTTTCCCTAAAGTAAAATATAGATACCATTCGTGCACATCCTGTTGTAAAGAATAAGGTTTTTTTTTTTTACCATTAGGAATATTAGGTATATATTTTCTTATTAACTATTCGACACTCAGGAGATGATTTCATCAATTTACTATCGCGATGAAATAAAAAAAAAATTTCGGAGATTCATCTTTCTCACTTCATTTTCTATCGTCTCAGGTGACGAGGAAAATATGTGGTTCGGCTTCCTGCTCTTCTGACCACCTCGACCATCGTGCTGTTTAGCGTTTCTGAAATCTTTTTTCATTTTTTTTCAAGTACCTGTCGTGATTGATAACCAGTTAATCTACCACAAAACATAGCACATGTTAAAACACAAATGACAAAATCGGACTCACAGTGACGTAGTTAGCGTTGATGTATGACGATCTTGGAACAGGGCCATCTTGTAACAGTTTTACTCTTGTATGCACAACTGTAGAAGTAATACTGTCTCACTTAGCAATAACATCTGATAAATATTCTTTTTATTATTAGTTCACTGACTTACTTATCTCTGGCATTCATTCAATTGACTTTTGGTGCAGGAGAGCCTAACATATGATACCACAACAACCAGCTTAAGAATGTATGTGGAGGCGGGCACTGCAGCTTTCCGCTGGCTAGATAAGACACACACACAATTCGTGATTGTAACTGACTCAGAAAGCTTGCTGAGGAAGATCAGGACAGGCATGCTTCGTGCAGAGTGGCATGCCTCGCTGCGGAGGACACGGGTGAGGAGTATTGTCTGGATTTTTTTCACCAGGGAATGCCGGTATGTTGGGAAATAAACACGCGTACAGACTGGTTGGCTCTGCACAGCTTGATGGAATACTGATGCATGATAAGGCAGACGTGGTGAATGCCTTGTCAGAGAGCGTGTACAGTTCGGAGAAGATGGATCACCACAGTCTGGTAAGATTGATGCAGGGGGTGGGGTGGGGGGGGGGGGGTGACGAGAGATTCTGGCAGATGCTCGAGGCTCAGAGGAAAGGCAGGAAGGACGTTTAATCAAAATGCTATTGGCACCATTAGTATTGGAACTCTTCGCTGGTTGCTGAAGATGGGGACAGAGGGCATATGGGAATGCACCGAGTGCTGTGATATCGATTCTTGAATCAAATCAAATCAAATCATTTATTCAATAGGTGTATCTTTCTTGTCATAAACTTTATAGAATCACAATCCGTATTTTTTATGTATCTTCTTATTCGCGTTCACCGACTATAAATTCCGGCAGAAAAATCTGCTTGTTCGTCCACTTCTGAACTTTAGCCTTATTCCATCGTTTGAGCTTTTACGTGCACATCTGTTTTACACATTTGGCTTATTCGCATGTAGACTGTTGGTTCTTTGAATCTCAGGCAGATGTACTCCAACTTCGTAGAAAACACCCCTAATTGGTCGACTCGTGGTTAGTTGCGTATCCTTTACAGGACTTTGCAGAACCAACGCCAGCAGCACCTGGCTGTTGTGTGGTTTCTCTAGGCAATTTATGTCCAGAAGTTTGCCATTGCTTGCTTGACGGTCGGCTCGCTGATACCGCTGTCGAAATTAACACAAGGCGCATGGCCTGCAGCTGGGATCGAACCCGGCACCACGGCATTACGAAGCAGGGAGCAGTTTCTGATGAAGGTGGTAGGAGTGTGTTAACGGTACACGTAAACACAGTCACGGGACTCAGAAAGTCACCTATAATAAATGTAAAAAGTAAAAAAGTAAAGGGCCTTTTTCCGTGCATACAGGCGTATTGGGCATTGTCAGAGGCCAGTTCGGCTATGGGAGTGCAGTGCGGGGGAAATTGACAGTTCAAAAGGAACAAGTCCCAATATACTTGAACTATTTCTACATCTCGTACCTCTCCTAACAAAGATTTACCTTAAGTCAACAGAACTCTTAAAGAAATTCCAAATTTTGACTGTGTTGATTCCAAGACTAACCTGAACATGGAAATATTTGGTATTCCTCTTCCGAAAATACCAAAGAATAAACTGTGTGAATTTATTTCGGGATGAACAGTTTTCAATGGTTCTGGACGTCATTTGAATCATGGATCAAGGTTCTTCAGAGTGTGTGAGAGGAATGAAAGTGAAATAAAATTGTGTGCAAGCTTATGTGATATAGTATTACTATGTGTATATTCCATATTGCACACACTATTTAATATCTGTTGGGTAATGCATACAGCAGGGTATAATGTGTATTAATATATATGTTACGTGTGATATTTGTTGTCTAATATATATGTTATATGTCATATTTGTTATGTACTGTATTTGTTAGGTCATATGTGTTGTGCAATGTAATGTATATGTTGTACGACTTATTTGGTTTATTATATATACACATATTATGTATTTCATACCTACATTTCATTTGGCATTTAAATACTTTGGCTTATAATTATAATGTATATGTATATTTTATTTTATTTTGATTTGTAACATTTTTCACTTAGACTGAGAAGTATTTTTTTTTTTACTGTTTCCTTTCTATTTTGTTCTCATAAGTTAAGACATAAAAGATAACAATTCTTTTTTTCTTTCTTTTAGGTTTTTCATGTTAAAGTTAAAGTTAGTTTTTTTTTTTTTTATTCTTTGAAAAAACTAAACAATATGTAAATGTTGAATGCAACGGGTTGTTTGTTGTGAAGTCAACCACATTTGGGTTTTGGTGGATGACAGCGCAACTGCCAACTTGCTGCATGAAGTATGTGACTAAGTAATTATAAAGATGTAAGCATAAATGTAAATGTAATTGTGATTGGAATATAAACAAGGCGAATTGTAGACTATAGGTTTTTTTTTAAAGACGGTATCTTACTAAAATTTAATTTTAGGATTTTTTTTTTTTTTTTTTAGAACTTTGAATTTATTTTTGGAACATGGATCTTATTTTTGGTTTGGTATTTATAAAACAGATGTTGATTTTTATTACTATTCTGAATATTCACTGAGAGTAACCACAGATTACACTAAATGTTGTACATGAGGGTAAGTACACTTGAGGTTTGACCTCATCCCTGTTGGTTGTGAATGTGTCTCACAAGCCACATTTGGGTTTACTATTTATACTGCACTGTGGGTCAGAAGGTGTGTCCGCAGAAGGGATTGATTGAAAAGAGACACATTCACGACGGTATGTCAGGAAGACAGGAGGCTTCCATATTAACCACAGATTAATCGGGGAGAGTTATTGATATCTATGACGACCATTGATAGTACTGGTCACCGTTTGGTTATACGTCCGTCTTGTCTTTCCTCTGAGTGTATGACCCAGCCAGACCCTCTGGTCACACATAGGTGCATCATTCCCTCCAAGACATAATATAAATGGGAGTCGCCGTGGCAGAGCGGCTAGACGCTCGCCGCGGATCGGAAAGTCGTGGGTTCACTATCTGGCGAAGCCGGACTATTTTCAGAAAGGACCTTGACTCTCAGGTCGACCCAGCCTTGAGTGGGTACCGGGTGCAGTCTGGGAAGTAAAGGCGGCCGGTGTGATGCTGACCACATCACCCATCTTGTGCCGATTGGTCTATAAAAATATAGGTCTAGCCCTATACGCCTAATGGCGGGGAAAAGGGTCCTTTACTTTTTTTACTTTACATTATATATATATCTTCACCACAAAACACAAATATTTCATATTTTGCTACAGAACAAGGACACTGTTATTTCTGTGTGAAAGTAGAACTTTGTAAACTTACGAGGCAGAATGTTTGCATATCTGTTTTTATCCTCCTCCCCGGCAGGCACCATGGATGGACGTGGCATTCTTTGTGGTAGTTTCTGTAACAGTAACCATTTAATTGTTTCAGATGAAGAAGCAGTGTAGCAATTTATTCAGAACAGCTAGATCAATTCTACTTTAATCAAATGACCAGAGGTTTTACAAAGACTTCAAGAACGTATTCATAGCAACCAGAAAAGCAGAGCGATATGGAGAATGTTATATGGAGAGTAACGGATCAATGGGAGGTAAGGTGACGTAGTGGCTACACTCTAGCATGATGACCCTTAGGTCTCAGGTTCGAATCTGCATCGAGATGCATTTTTAAAAATCAATATTTACAGCTCTGTTTCTCTCCGGTGAGCAGCTGTAAGCCAACCAGTAGCATGACAGATGAAACGCCGTAGCTCTAGCAAGGATCAGCTGCGTTTACTTCTTATACTATTTCTTAGTGCCTATTTTAGAAAAAAAAATCCGTAGGTGCTACAATCTCCTCCTAAGAAGTTTCACAAGCGTAAAACAACTGGCAAAGCCTGTTCTATGTTGATTGTTCAGTCATTTCCTCTTGGGGAAGTGTTCGTTTCTTGCAGCTTCAGGCTGTACATCCGTGTCCATCAGCCTGGACAGGAATACGGAGTCATGCCCCTTGCCGTTTTTGTCTTTACGGCAAGTGCTGCGCATGCCATTAAAAACATGGCGTATGTCAAATGTTGGGCCATCCATAGCAACCCGCAATGTCTGCAAGTTAATCTGCAGTACAGGCTTGTTGTCTTGAATACCTGACTGACTGACATTCAACCCCACCAGTACATCACACTGAGCGATAAACACACGGTGACACAAAGTGGTACCATTCGGATGAGACTCACTTGGGGACAGTTTCCAGAGACTCTGTTTAACCCATAGGTTAGGTTATATTAGGGCCCCAGCAACAGCCGGAGTAAGGCTTTTAAATAACGAATAATGGCGTCCCATACTGGAACGGTTTGTTGGTTATTGCAAAACCTGGTACACCCATGAAGGGTATGCCAGGCATTCGAGAAGTACTTAGTGTTACAAGCTATTCTTATGCGATGAACCTTGTCTGCATTTTTCTTAACACATTCACGAAGACACAAAGTATGCACTGGCATCTAAACTCTCGAGTACCCAACCATGCTAATGTCATTGTTACCGCCTCAGTTTCCATTGTGACGGTAACAGTAGTAACAGCAAAGGTGTCATTCACCTCTTCGATGGTTCCCCCCCCCCCCCTTCCCAATGAGCTCATTGTTAACGCCAACCCACATCGCTTTCTTTCATCGAATTACTGGTCCGTCTGTGTAAACTACAACATCACCTTCATCTGTATTTTCACCAATCATCGTACCAGGAATCTACTCCCTGTAGCTTCTGTAAAGTGGTAAACGGGCTGGTATGTTAATATTGGGAGCATCAGGTATAGGTATCCACTGAAATCCACAATTCAGGTCAGTAAGGCTGCAAACCAGTTGGATGACATTCTCAATACCAAACATGCACGATTAGTTTCTTTAAAGTCATTTTGATCTCTCGAACAATCCCTCGTGAAATGGGTGTCGGGTGGTTTCACTTAACCTTTAGTCAAGTAGCGGACCTGCAGAGCTTGATTCTGATGTTCACTGTAGAGAAATCCAAGAGCTGTCAATAATATGTATTGCCTCATTTTCAATTTTTTTGTTTCCTTGTTCACCTGCGTGGTTCTTCGTGGTTATCAAAATACAAATATAGCTTTAGGACAGAGGTGAAAGAGGAAATGACTGAAGTATGTATGCACAGTGCTACGAGTGTAGTAGTAAAGATACATTCATACATAGTCAGGCAGATAAAAACAAAAAGAAAATTACACACTGATGGACTAAACGACAGACACATACATAGGACAATCCCCTGTAAATATGTAGCTCTACAGACAGAAAGACAAATAATTAAATTGAAAGAGGGGCAGACTCACCTAAGGATAAACATACAAACAGGCAGTCTGACTGAAAAGCACACATACAAACAGGCAGCCCGACTGACAGGCACACATACAGACACGCAGCCCGACCGACAAGCGCACATACAAACAGGCAGTCTGACTGAAAAGCACACATACAAACAGGCAGCCTGACCGACAAGCACACATACAGACAGGCAGCCCGACCGACAAGCACACATACAAACAGGCAGTCTGACTGAAAAGCACACATACAAACAGGCAGCTTGACTGACAAGCACACATACAGACAGGCAGCCCGACCGACAAGCACACATAGAAACGGGCAGCCTGACCGACAAGCGCACATACAAACAGGCAGCCAGACCGACAGGCACACATACAAACAGGCAGCCTGACCGACAAGCACACATACAGACAGGCAGCCCGACCAATAGGCGCACATACAAACAGGCAGCCTGACTGACAAGCACACATACAAACAGATAGATGACCGACAAGTACACATACAAACAGGCAGCCTGACCGACAGGCACACATACAAACAGGTAAACAGACAGTCACTACCTCGTACTCTTCCTCAATTTTCCTCATGTCCATGCAGAAGTTGGACAGTTGCATAAAATTCATCGGATGTGACGGATCCGGCTGTAATGAAATTGACATTTCAGTTATGAAACAATATGTTGAAGAGAGATCATTATAACTGTATTGTAGTGGCTTAGGAAATCATATATTTCCTAACGGTGTAACTAATTCATTGACAATACAGTTGAGACACTTAATGACAGGTAAATTATGTTTTTGAGAAAACTGCAAAAGAAAGCGTGGCCGCCTATGCAAAAGTTGGATGGGCGGAATACCCAAGACTGTATGTAAGTCTGGCGGTATCTATGTAGCACATACCAAGGCTCGCACTAGAGGCCTCTTCAATACTTTATCCTGAAAGGCAGAATAGGTAAAGAAATAAAAAGAATAAAAACACGCATGAATGAAAAGAAATGAGAACTTGGTACTACTATTAGAAGAAAAAAATGGCACAATCCTTTTTTTCCGTGGGTACACAAAACCTAAAGGACTGAACTGTTTGACATAGTTTCACATATAATCCCACAGTTACGGTCATTTTAATTCACGGGCCATTTATTCTTTGGCCGTACGCGTGTTTTGTTTCACTAGCAAGGCACCAACGTTGCTGCTTCGGGAAACGTCAGTTGAGTGATTTAGTGCATTCGTGTGGTTTTGCAATGTGCCGAAGAAGGCTCTGTAGCCGCAACGTTGACTTTCTATTTGTGTTTCTCACATTGTGAAGCTCGCTGGTCTATTTTTTGTTCGGTTGTATATCTTTCCATGTTTTTTTTTTTAAATTTAGAAATGAGGCGTATACAGATAAGATTTTTCAAAAATGTTTACAGGGGCAAATGAATTACGTAACGTATACCAAACTTGATGGAAAGTGAGGCAAAGAAACACAACAAGTTCTGGGTGATAACTTCGAAAACTAACTATAGCAGAATAAGTACATCTAACCGAATTGTGATTCAAAAGATTGCATAGAAACCGAAAGCCATACCGGTCTACCATTGATTAAATAGTTAACCGCAATGAGATTTAATTCATAAATCAGAGGTTCTGAAATTTGCAGTTTCAGAGCACATCATTTAAATTCATTATTTAACGTAAACACACACACATATGCACGCACGCACACACACACACACACACATTTATATATACATTAACCCCCAAACATACCCCCCACACATGCGCAAACATTTGTGTGTGTGTGTAGCTTACATTTATGGTTGTGTGTACGTGTTTGTTTGTTTCTTTCTCTGTGTATGTGAAATTCTTCTTCTTCTTCTTCTTCTTCTTCTTCTTCTTCTTCTTCTTCTTCTTCTTCTTCTTCTTCTTCTTCTTTTTCTTCTTCTTCTTCTGCCTTTCTATCCCCCAATGGAGCATAGGCCCTCAACCAACTCACGCCAAGTCGTTCTATTCTTCGCCATTGCATGGAGCTCTCCCTATGTCCTCCCAATCTTTCTAACCTCATTCTCTAGCTCATTTCTCCATGTGTTTTTTGGCCTTCCTTTATTCCTATACCCCTGTGGGTTCCAATGCAAAGGCATTCTAGTTATGCTGTTCTCCTGTTTTATCAGTGTGTGCCCTATCCAACGCCAGAGTCTTTTCCTCACCTCCTGATCCACTGGAGCCTGTTTAGTTCTCTCCCAAAGTTCTACATTAGTTATTCTATCATACCATTTTATTCCCTCTATTCTGCGCAGGCACCAGTTAATGAATGTCTGTAATTTATTTGTAATTGCCTTGGTTGTTCTCCATGTTTCCGCCCTATACAATAGTACTGATCTGACATTAGAATTAAAAATTTTTAGTTTAGTATTTCTTTTAATTTCATTTGACCTCCACAAATTCCCTAGTGCTATGAAAGCCCCTCTTGCCTTTTGTATGCTTATTTTAATATCTCTATCAGTTCCTCCATCTTTATCTACATTACTGCCCAAATAGGTGTACGACTCATGTGAAATTATACACAAGTTTAATAGTCAGGACATTACTGGCTCGAGAATATCCAAGCCTGGGTTGACTAGCCCGCTGTTAGGCCGTGACTTGATCACCGAGGCCAGCTGGATAGAATCTGAACTGCTGTGAGTATAACTGCTGTTGACTGAAGGCAAGGGGCTACCACTGCTGTCTTTGTTTCGGCGTCGCACAACAACCTGCAAATAGAGATTGACAAGCCAGGACTTCAGTGTGGACCTACACGGACCTACACAGGCAAAGAGATAAGGTTTAGGTTTAGGTTTAGACGACAGATCAACATCGAGGCACAAGGGTGGTAACTCTTTAAGTGCTCCGTTCTACTTCTAACTCAAGTCTGAATCCGAAGAATCTCAGCGCAGTGCTCGAACTCCGTAGCACAGGCAAGGATCCTGAAATACTTTAGGTAGATTTTCATTTACAAATTGTGCCCGTGGGGCGCTGTAAGGCTACTCTTTTCGATTCCCAACTGCCAAAAGATTGTTACGTGCGTTATAATATACACGGGCGTTCGATCTCACTACTGAGAGACCAGGGGAAAATTACTACAAGCCCACGTGAAAAAATTCTCAGCCTTAACTGGGGCTTAATCTCGGGACCTCCGGCACTCGAGGCGAACGCCATGCTTCTAGACCACGCAGCCCTCCTATAAAAAGGTATCCAGTGAGTGAATTTGAACCAAACTAGGATAGCATACTGAGCAAATTTAATCGTTTACATTTGATACGTCTCTTTTTCCTGAGATCGACAAGAGAAATCTTGACTGAACAAAAGCCAGCATTTTGGAGAAATAATGATGCAACCAGTCATATACAAAAGAATTTGACACACAAAATGTGAGTCTAGTTTGAAACAGCGAGACCGGCTTTTGGGGAGGAAGACTAAAAGAATTTTTTTAAAAAAAATACACGGTGTAGGACAAATGCGGAACATCTCAGCATAGCAAGCTGTTACAAGATCCTCTTGAAGATCTGAAGCTTAAAGTTGATTTTGTGTTTTATCAATACTAAAATTTCTTTTTTTTTTTTTTTAATTTTAAATTTTTGTTTTTTTAAGGCTGGTGTTCAGTGTCTTGATTACGTTGAAAAAGATATTGGTTACTTGGATTAGTGGTAACAGCTTAGGATAGACCAGAAGCCGTATTCCTAATCCTCAAAATGTAGTCGGTTGGCTTTATTGTTCACTCCAACACATATTGACTACTGTCGTGGATCAGACCGTCTGAACGTCAGAGCAACGGACCTAATAATTACATATTTTTCTACCAAAAATTTACAGCCAACCAACCAGCCAAATCGACCATCCAATAAAATCATCAAACTAACTAACGAAACCAAAACCACAGCAACCAACCAGTCAACAAATCTGCTATCTAGCCAAACAACAACTAGCCAGCCAAAGAAAGAAACCACAATCAAGCCAAGTATACATAACAAAATCAACCAAACAACCAACCTACCGGAAAATCAAGCAACTATACATGTCATTTATAAGCCAAACAGAAGTGTAAGCATCTGGCGCATTGATAGCGACAGATTCAACGAGCATGCGTAAGAAGATCAGAACTTGAAAACTTCGACTAGAATTGGTTGACAGGATCCAGAAGCTCCACCTCAAGAAACTTGCTTTCCTGTGCACAACGGGACAAGCTAGAGTGACAGGAAATAAAAGCGCCGACGCACTGGCCTTGTCTGCGGTGACTGGTGGAGGGAGAAGTATGGACAGGGTAGACAATCTAAATGAGCGGCATCCCAGAGACTTCGGGACAAAGAAGTCAGACATAAGAAAAAGCAGTTGGATACATTAAACATTTCCTGGAGTTGTACTCTTTTAGGCTGAACAAATAGATGGCTCTTCAAATTCCATAGAGACTCTACCAACTCTTGACTGCCTGCGCACTTTTCCAATAATTGCTGACGCTAATCATGCCACCGATGAACTTACTTCTGGAAAGAGCCCAAGCAGGTATGGAATTTCTTTTGAGAACATTGAAAGTGGAAAATACATACTAATCCCACAAATGTCTCACCTAATAACGTCTTGTCGTCACGAAGTGCAGGTTCCACACGACTTTAAAGATTCAAGCATCATATCTGTGTACACGGGCGACTGGGGTGACTGCAACAGCTACAGAGGAACAGCTTTGTTGATGACTGCTGGCAAAGTGCTTGCCACGATTGTTTTTACGAAGACTCCAGATCCTAGGAGACCAGGTTTACTTTACAAAGTGGCTTTCATGGCAACCGATCTACCACTGATGTGAATTTCTAATTACATGTGCAAGAAAAATCCCGTGCATAAAATCAACACTGGTATATAGCTGTTATTGACCGTACCAAGACATTTGATTTATTTTCGTTAGACGTAAAGATCTGTTCAATATGGTGAAGAAGATTGCGTATCCGCAATCTGTTTTTTTTTTTTTTTTTTTGTATTCTACAAAATCGTTAGCTTCGTATCGTTTAGAGGACGTTGCAGAACCAACCCCAGCATTTTTTGGGGCTGGTTTTCCTAGGCAAGTTTACGTCCAAGTTGGACGGTCGGCTTCTCGATACCACTGTTGAAACCAACGCAAGGCGCAAGACCGTTAGCTGGGATCGAACCCGGCCATCCGGCATTACAAAGCGTGTTCACAACGCCTAAGCCACAGACGCCGACAAAGGATATGCTTTTTTTTTTTTTTTTACTTATATTGAGACCTCGACTAACAGGTGACACAACTAAAGAATTTCTCGCCGAATGAAATAGTATTTTTCTGTTTTTTGGGGTTCGCTAATTTTGATTCAGCTAACGTTCTAGTGGATGCCTGCGCTAACAATAGTGTTGTAAGATGAATGTGTACACCATTTCGTTTTGGGTAACAAAGATTTCGCTTAAATTGTAACTTTAGAACGAATTATCCTCGTTATTTGATGTATCTGTATAACTGATTCTGTGACATTTACATCATTTTTTTTTCTTATCTTTGTTATTTTCTTAGCCCTACTACAGTCTCAGTGCGTCCGTGGCTTGGGCATTGCGAGCCCGACTCGTAATTCCAACGTACCGCGATCGAAACCCTCTGCTGGCTGCATGGATTTTTATCATGGTATGGAGCGTCGCAGGTCGATTGGTATGTAAAAATACGGGACGCTCTTCCCATATGCCCGATGGGCCTAAGATGTGAAAAGGGGTCTTTACTTCCTTTACTTTACTAGAGTCTCACAGATTCAATATATTACACAAAACATCTCAGCGACAAGTTAGATACTACCGTGACACGAAACACCTTCAAACTAGACACATCTTTCACCTGTAGAATGATTAATCCAATACAGCAACAGCCACCAACAACAGCCAAGGCGATCGCTAGACTGACCCGATGGTCAGTTGAATCTTCATCAGTGAAATCCTCTCCATTCCCGAGGTTGCCATCGCTTGTAGTTTGACCATCTTGTCTATCCTCCCTGTCGTAGACATTGATAGCCAGTAGCTACATGGAAACAAACGTCAACATTGTAAATTACACGGTGACAGAGGTTGCTCAGACTAATTTGAGAAGGAATGGACTAGACAACTTGGTAAGGACTGGCAACATTTACGAACGAAGAGCAAGAGGAAGGCAATTAGATCAATACCTGGATGGCTTGGCCTTTTGGATGGGGTAGGACAAAAACACTGACACGGTTATTGATGCTAGTGATCGTGTAAGACGCTACTCGACAAGACACATGATAACGATGATTAAATCAAGGTTGGGCATTCTTTGAGTCTTATTAGGGCACACGGTGGGATCCTTCTGTTTAGATATATGGGCATTTGAAAGTGATATGGCAATCGAATATGATATGGTCAAGACCATCTCGGCCACCGTTACATCGAAGATAATTTCCTGATATTTATTTTGAACGGGCATGTCCTTAGAGTTGGAGCATTTTGAAATAAACCCCTCCTCGAAGTTGATTCGACCATATATCTGCTGTGCCAAGAGGAAAGGATGCTAGCAGTTGCACCGCTGTAGCTCTCAAGTGGCAAGATCAGTCAAGAAACTGCTCTCTCCACAGTAACATAAAAACATATAAAAATAAACAATAGCAATAATCAGCTTAACATAAAAATCAGAAACAATAACTGAACGTTGCGGCTAAAAAGCCTTCATTAGCACAAGAACACTATCTGCTATGGATCTCTGTCTTTCAAAATGGTTTATGCTATCTTAAACTGCTTTTTGTTCATTTCTTAATATTTTCATTCAAATGAAACGCTGTCTCTTGCTCGCTTTCCATAAACTTTCTGCCTCTGTGTTTCACAGCGTGTTCAATGAAATGAAGACGTAGAAGTAACTTACCACAGCACAACACTAAGACTATGTGCATAGATGTGGTAAAGGAAGAAACGGGCAGAAATATTACGAACGTTGCGACCAAAGTCTTTTTCAATGAACAACATTAAAGAATTATAAGATAATTGTGGCAAGCTCGCAGACACAGACACTTGGGCAGGCTGACAGTTAGGAAGAGACACGGGTATACAGACTGACAGACGGACAACAAAACAAGTAACGTACTCTAGTGTTAATGATGGAATTCTTGCGGTCCTCAAACGGAACTCCCGCCTGTAGAATGGTAGCACATTGCAGGGTCAGGTTTCTGTCAAACTGGTGCGTGATGTTGGTCAAGTACATGCGCACCAGAATCTCTGCCATGTTAGAACCGCTCTCTTGGAAGCAGTTCACAGCTTCGCGGTCCATGACCTTAAACTACAGAACACTGAGTGAGATTAATAGCAGGATAAATTATGTCTATCTATCTATCTATCTATCTATCTATCTATCTATCTATCTATCTATCTATCTATCTATCTATCTATCTATCTATCTATCTATCTATCTATCTATCTATCTATCTATCTATCTATCTATCTATCTATCTATCTATCTATCTATCTATCTATCTATCTATCTATCTATCTATCTATCTATCTATCTATCTATCTATCTATCTATCTATCTATCTATTTCAGCACTTTCTGGACAAAAATACACGTAAAATATTTTACGTATCCTACATTCAAACGCATATTGACTATTGTTCCACAATTTGGGATGGCTGCTCCAAATCTAATGTCAAACGGCTGAGTTCTCTACAAAATAGGGCCTTACGCCTAGTTTCCGATAGAAACTACGTTGAGAAAAATCTTTTATATGGACATCTAAGGCTTCTGCCATTTAGTAAACGTTTAATTTTTAATAAGGCCAAATTTATTCACAAAATCCTATCTAAAGATACTCCAAATTACATAGACCGATTTATTCAATCTAATCCTAAGAATAGCAAGCGACTAGGTTAATTACATTTGCCTAAACCCAGAATTGATTTATTTAAAGCAAGTCTAGCATATTCTGCTGCTCATTTATGGAATCATCTTCCACCCGATCTGAAAACTACAAAAAGTCCTTACTCATTTAACCGCAAACTCTTTCATTTCATGATTATCAGTGATTACATGCCACCTTAAATGTAGTTAATATTCCACAATGCATTACTAGTTATAATTAATTGCAGTACGTATGATATGTTTGTATGCGTATATGTGTGACATGCTGGCGTGTGTAGGCGTATGTGTGTATGTATGATTCTGTGTATGCATGGGTGACTGTATACGTTTGTGTGTATGTATCTGTGTGTAGGCGTGTGTCTGTGAGTGTGTCTGTTTGTCTGTATGGTGTCTGGGTGCGTGTCTGTGTGTGTCTGTCTGCGTGTCAGTGTGCGTGTCAGTCTGTGTTGTGTGTCTGTGTGTGTGTGTGTTTTTATGTCTATCTGTATGTGTGGCTGCGTGTGTGTCTGTGTGTGTGTGATTATATGTGGATATGTGCGGGTGTGGCTTGGCTGCATGTTTGTCTGTGTGTGTCTGTCTGTTTGTGTATATCTATGCTGTGTCTGTAGGTGTTTCTGCGTGTGTTTGTGTGTCTATGCCTGCGTGTGCCTGTGGCTGTGTGTTTCTCTGTGTGTTGTTTCGTGTGTATTTGTATGTTCAAATTTTTGATAATGTGTGTGTGTGTGCGTCTGCATGTGTGTGTCTGTGCGAGTATTTGTGCGTCTGTGGGTGTGTTAGCATGTGTTTGTGTCTGTCTCTGTGTGTCAGTGTGTGTGTGTGCCATTATGTGTCTGTAGGTGTATATGGCTGCATGTGTATGTGTGTCTGTCTGTGGCTGTGCGTGGCTTTGTGTGCATCTGTGTGAGTCTCTATCGGTGTGTCTATTATATTATGTCTGCGTGTCTCTGCTTGTGTCGGGTTATGCCTCTGTGTTCGTATGTCTGTCTGTGTGTGTATATCTGTGTATGTGTGGGTGTTGCGTATGTCAATGTGTGTGTCTGTTTCCCTGCCTGCGCGTGTGTATGTGTCCGCGTGTGTGTGTGCCCGTGACTGCATGTGTGTGTGTGTGTCTGTATGTGTCTGGATTGTATGCGTGTGTGTTTTAGAGCGTGTGTATGTATGTATGTATGTATGTATGTATGTATGTATGTATGTATGTATGTATGTATGTATGTATGTATGTATGTATGTATGTATGTATGTATGTATGTATGTATGTATGTATGTATGTATGTATGTATGTATGTATGTATGTATGTATGTATGTATGTATGTATGTATGTATGTATGTATGTATGTATGTATGTATGTATGTATGTATGTATGTATGTATGTATGTATGTATGTATGTATGTACGCATGTATGTATGTATGTGTGTATGTATGTGTGTATGTATGTGTGTATGTATGTGTGTATGTATGAGTTATGTATGTGTGTATGTGTGTGTGTTTGTATGTGTGTATGTATGTATGATGTATGTATGTATGTAGGTAGGTAGGTAGGTAGGTAGGTAGGTAGGTAGGTAGGTAGGTATGTATGTATGTATGTGTGTGTGCATCTTCGTATGTATGTGGATGTATGTGTGTACTTAGTGCCTATATGTTTGTGTGTAAGTGAGTCATTGGGCTTGTGTGTGTATGTGGGTGTGTGTGTTCGCGCGTGAGCGTGCGTACATATTTTACCAGCCATGCTTTTGTTTTTGACTTCATATATAATATGCATATTATTACATGAATATAACATGCTTCATTAATGAAATACAACTGCTGTGTGAAAGATGGAAGTTTGGAAGGGCCGAATGTAAGACAGGCCTGCGTGCCTAATTTGTAACCCTTTGAAAATAAAGTTCGTTCGTTCGTTCGTTCGTTCTATCTATCTATCTATCTATCTATCTATCTATCTATCTATCTATCTATCTATCTATCTATCTATCTATCTATCTATCTATCTATCTATCTATCTATCTAATCTATCTATCTATCTAATCTATCTATCTATCTATCTATCTATCTATCTATCTATCTATCTATCTATCTATCTATCTATCTATCTATCTATCTATCTATCTATCTATCTATCTATCTATCTATCTATCTATCTATCTATCTATCTATCTATCTATCTATCTATCTATCTATCTATCTATCTATCTATCTATCTATCTATCTATCTATCTATCTATCTATCTATCTATCTATCTATCTATCTATCTATCTATCTATCTATCTATCTATCTATCTATCTATCTATCTATCTATCTATCTATCTATCTATCTATCTATCTATCTATCTATCTATCTATCTATCTATCTATCTATCTATCTATCTATCTATCTATCTATCTATCTATCTATCTATCTATCTATCTATCTATCTATCTATCTATCTATCTATCTATCTATCTATCTATCTATCTATCTATCTATCTATCTATCTATCTATCTATCTATCTATCTATCTATCTATCTATCTATCTATCTATCTGCCTGTCTGTCTATCCTATCTATCTATTATCGGTTTATCTATATATCTATTATATATATGTCTGTCTGTCTGTCTTTCTATCTATCGATCAATCTATTTATTCGTCTATCTGTATGCTTGTCCTTTTTGTCCGTCGGTTTATCTATCTGTGTATATATCTATCCTAATAAATATGTGTTATGAAATGTTTTACCTGATCAGCGGTTATCCCCGCACTGTTGATATGCACCTGTAAGATGTCCACCAGTTCCTGCCATATGGCCCTTTCCTCATGGCAAAAATTGGGCCAGGACATTCCAAACTTCAGCTCAATGTAAGACGTGGGTGACTCACTCTCGTTCACTGCTAAAGCGCCTGTTTGATATGCCGAGAGGATTATTACATACTGGTACGAGGTTAATTTGCCCACCCTTTTTTCTTCGTCTATAGAGGTTATGTCAAACAAAGCTGCAAAACGGTGTTTTTATACTCATAACGTTTAGAGTATAAAGTATATATGGAATAGGACCGTAGAAAGATTGGTGAATGACAGGTTACCTAATTTCCTAGAAGAAGACAAGATATTGGATGAAAGCACATTATGTTTCATGAAATACAGAAGCACTGATGTCCAAACATCTTGTCTCGCACAAGAAATTGAAGATGCTTTTCAGAACAAATACAAATTGCGGGATACTATTTTTGACCGACCAAAGCCTTTGACAAGGTCTGGAAGAAACGACTCTTGTTAGAATTAGCACATAGTGGCGTAAAAGGGCATATGTGTGCCTGGATTAGAGACTTTCTTCACAGATGCTGTGCGAGAGTCAGGCTGGATGAACACAAGAGCAAGCTGGTCAGATTATAAGAAAGTGTCCCTCAGGGGGGTGTTATATATCTTAACCTATTGTGTTTTTTTTTTTAATCAATACTCTACCAAACAGTTAACGACTCACATTCACAAGACTCTATATACAAATGACCTGGCCATATTGACCCAAACTAAGGATATAAGAATAATTGAAACAAGTTTAAAGGATGATATGAATACAGTTAAGAAGTGGATAGACACTTGGTAAGTCATAATAAACCAGACTAAAGCTGTCTCGACTATTTTCTCTCTTTTCACAAAGCTAGAACAAGTTGGTCTGTACCTAGAAGGCAACATAATTCAAAAATAAGACAACCCCGCATATTTAGACAAAAAGACTAACCTGGGGCTCCCACATTGAAGACACCCAGAGGAAGGCTACCCTGCAGCTCAGACTTAAGATGAAACTTATTGGAACAAGCTGGTGTGCAGATTCCAACACCGTACGACAAGACTAAAACTGGAGAATGGCATGGGAGCATACCCCACTGCAGATCCCAAAAAATCTAAACAGGACAAAATATGCCTATGTGCACTGATCTCAGACTCATCACAGGAGGTATGAGAAGCACACCAGTCAATGAGCTAGGAGCAACTTCTGACCTTCACAGCTTGAACCTTTGAAGGAAAGAAACGATGCTTACCCTGACAGAAAAATTGTAGACCCATGAACAAATATCATATACACACAACAACAAACAACTAAACGAAAAACAGACTGAAAAAAAACAATATTTGTATTATCTACAAAAGTTGTTCTGCGCGCACACACACACACACACACACACACACACACACACACACACACACACACAATACAGTGATATCCCTTCTAAAGGCCCTAATTGTGGGAAATGATCCAGGCATATAACATAGACCTACAGAATAAATATACTGTCGCAACAAAATTTGCAGGCATAGACAAAAAGGCTGAAGAATGTGATCTCGTACTGCATGCATAGACCCTTGAATATATTTACAACTTGTATCCCAAACTCAACATGTATACACCGATAGATAATTGGAGGGAGCAGCAAAAATTCAAGGACCTGGTTCTGTCATCATACTGCTAAATGGGACCACAGTGGAAATGTCATGTGCTTTCGAGAAACTCTCAACAAAATTCAGAGCAGCAATCTATTATTGTTGAAAACGAAGTGCTTCATTATATAAGAAACAGACACATTGTTTTCCTGTGTGACTGCATGTAAGTCATCCAGGCGACTCAAACAGATTCACGAGACAACTTTGAGAGAGAACAAGAGAACTGACTTGCAGCTACATAAAGCCTTATTAAAAAAAATCAAATTGTTCTCCGCTGGATCCTGGCTCACTGCGGCATAACAGGAAAATAAGTTAGCAGACAGACTTGCAAAAAATAGGGCAACAACACACCCATTCATTGTTACTACCAGAAATCAAATTTCTTGTCACGGAAAAATACAAGGAACTGTGGTGAGAACAAACCATTATGAAAGACAGGATCCGGATCTGAAGGGCTCGTGTATACCTCAAGATGAGCTCGGATGGGAAGCATCCTTTGCACCACATGCTCTTCATGGAAAAAGGGTAATAGATTTAAAAGGATCACATCAATCCTGGGTAGGGCAGAGGATGACTTCATGCAGGTATGCAGCCTAACAGATATCCACCTAGATGAGGAATGGATACCAGCGTCTTAAGCGGTCCTGTGTCGTGACGCTTGATAGGAGTTGTCAGGAGCAGAATACCGGTGTTGTCAACGCCGAGGTATGCACATTTATGAGTGACAAGTCAAATGAGACAGATGTGCTGATCTTCACAAGCGGGTCAGTTATACGTGAACATATGGCATTTACAGCTCGCTCTTCGGGAAGAACAGTTCAAGAAGCCAGGGGCGCCTTTTCTATGACTGCCAGCAGCATGAAGATGGGGAAGGGTAGGGGGGGAGGGGAGATGGTGGTGACACGCGCTTTCGTGTGGCTAGAATCACAGGACTATTCCAGTGTGTGTGTGCTGAGTGATTCTGTGAGTATGATCCGGCGTTTAGAGGCAGGCTAGTTGCGCAGAGAATAGACTGAGTCATTGCAAAACTCTCCTGTGTGTGCACTTACCTTCATATTTGTCCCAGGGTATATAGGTGTTGTTGGTAAAGAAAGAGCTAATAGACTTGCAGGAGTCGCATTAATTGAAGATGGCTAGTCAATGGATCACGCAGACATTGTCAGTGCCCTTAGAAAGATAGGACGTTCCGATGATTTGGAAGTAACGTGTCCCCATCACTAAGCATATAGAATTGGGAGTAGAGATCGGCACATCTAAGCATGAGAAGCACGCCGGACGCACATGAAGTCTTGTCAACCAGCATAGCACTGGCACTATTAATCGCGCGACGCTGATGAATATTTTCAGGGAGAAATCTGAGTACCTATGTATGTGTCCGGAGTGCAGTGAAGATAATCCAACTCATAACTCAGAGAACAAACCAGCAGTAAACACTCACAAGACCATATCAGCAGACTCAACAGAAAGCAACATACAACAATTTTCTTTCTAGGAACGGACACTGCAAACTCGACTGTACAAGTCGTCACTGTGTGCAGGCAGACGGGAACATAAACACATAAGCCTATTCTGCAGACCGGACCTGCCAACTCTAACTTCGAAATTTAAAAAAAGTATGCGGAGAAGCTATGGGGAACCATGAAGGGCCTGTAGCTGACATGCTAACAGAGAAGGTCGTAGGTCATGAGGTAGACCAAAAACCCTGTGAAAAGATAACATCAGCGGAAATTGTCAACAGTACAATGTAAATATGGTCAAAAAAGCCAGAAGATCAAGAAGCAGACCTCATAACTCTCTTATCACCTGAAGCGGTGAATGAAGAAGCTAAATTATATTTAGAACATTGTGTAGTGGTGGTATCTATGTTCAAGACGTTACTCATAAGACCAGGAGACACAAAGCGGAGGAATTTCGTACAAAACAACGTATAAACCCACCCGGTCGACACACGTATCATTATCATTATAGTCGGATAACAGTGCGTGTGATTGGGTCAACCGTTACTTCTTTCTTCTCAGTTCTCTCAACCTCTGTCGGTTAGATGCGTGGTCTGTCTACCTCTTTTCCTCGTCTCTTCTAATGAAGCTGTAAGTTTTGTTTTAGAACGGATAGTGGATTGGTACTTCGTTAAGTACGTACATGTTTCTGCTGCTTTGGATGCATTGTCTGTCATTTCACTGTTGTTAAAATAGTCTGTACTTCAATAGACTTTCACACTTTAATAAATACTAATATGAAAAGAACAACAGCGAAAGTAAAATTGAAAGTTGTTGAAGCAAATTAGAAAAAGATGGAACGGAAACAAACTCAAACATTTGAAGCAATGTACACATTCAGGCAATAATAGAGAGACGTCAACTATGTCAAAGAAATACTATATTTTTGCTGTATACATTGCCTCAGCGAGCCACACTAAAACGTTGCAACGGGTATAGAGCTAGGCAAACGGCTTGACCACTTCGCCAAGGAGACGCCCTATCACTTACACACTGCATGATCGTTATAATGCAACAGACAATGTCACAGAACAATACAGGTCAGGAGGTCCAGGTCTACAACAAGACGGCAAGACACATTTGTGTTTGCACCAGCTCTTAAAAAACGCAGTCACTGCCAGTACCATCAGGACTCAACTGCTAGCAGCAACCAACATAATCGTTAGTGACACATCATACGAAACCGACTGAGAGTTGCAGATGGGCATGCAAGGCGATGTGTCATTTGAGATCTGTCATTCAGCCTGTCCTGGCTCCAGTTTATCGCGTTAATCTTCTAGTTTGAATCAGCGTCATGTGACCAGGACAAGGCATCACTAGAGCAGGGTTTTGTTCATACATGAATCCCGTTTCACCAGATCATTCACAGATGACACAACTCTATGATGTCAAAGTCCTTGAACATGATCGCTATGTAGGTGGATGAGTAATGGTGTCAGGCGTGATTAGTCTTCTTCTTCTTCTTCTTCTTCTTCTTCTTCTTCTTCTTCTTCTTCTTCTTCTTCTTCCTCCTCTTCTTCTTCTTCTTCTTCTTCTTCTTCTTCTTCTTCTTCTTCTTCTTCTTCTTCTTCTTCTTCTTCTTCTTCTTCTTCTTCTTCTTCTTCTTCCTCTTCTTCTTCTTCTTTTTCTTCTTCTTCTTCTTCTTCTTCTTCTTCTTCTTCTTATTATTATTATTATTATTATTATTATTATTATTATTTTTTTTCTTTTTCGCGTTCACCAGCTGTAATCTATGGCGAAAGGTTATGGGTGTTCGTCCACCTCTGGACTATATACCTCTTCCATAAAATGAGTGTTGCGTGCACATTCGTTTCATTGATCTGACTCATCTGCCTGCAGAGTGTTTTTTCCGTTGCCTCTGAGGCAGATGAACTCCGACTTCGAATGAAGCTCACAATAAGACGA